GATGCCTGAACTTCCCCCTTAAAAAAAAAAAAAGGGGCATAGAAAATGGATTTATGAGTTTGTTAAATTAATTAGCTTCAAGCATACCCATTCAAAGCCTTAAAACAGTCCGGAGCGTCTCTAGATGGTCTTTTAAATTATGTTTTTTGTCGTCACTATGTTGAACCTTTTACAAATTAATACATTTAGGTCTGTTCATAATACACGTCTGAATTTTTGGAGAGCAGTTTCTTCCTCATTAAGGCCTAACCAGGGCAAGGGAAGAGAAAGTCCTGCTAGTTATAAATAGTAGTCTGCTCAAAGATCCTTTCTGCCGGTAAGTTCTTAATTAAATATGAGATCCAGTTAAATATGAGCCCCTGAGATTCATTTCTGCAGAGAGGACACTCGAACCATGACATTAGCTCCTATTAACTATGTCGCAATAAGTAGGGGCTTTGGAATAGAGTCTTTTATAATTACCAGGTTCTTTACCAGAGTACATTTGCACATGAAGTTTAAACATACAAACTATTCAAGAAAGGCAGACCATTGCTGGCTTGATGCCACATGAACGTGTTTGCCCAAGCACTTAACAAATATTTACCTACTTAAAAAAACGATACACATTTTCAGTCCATCATAGCATATTTTCAAATCAATGATCATAACAGTACAGTATTCTCTGCTTAAACTGGTCCAAACAATAATCTTAATGCAGGAAAAACACAGCAATAAACATAACCCACTGCATTAATGGTACGGCAGCTGCAACCTGCAAAAACAGTGGAATGACTTCCTGTCCTGATGCATATTATTACGACTGAGTAAACTATGATACGCCACAAATAAACAAACACCCAGCTGTTTCAATTAAATATTCACAATGATGGCTAGAGACAAAAAAAAAAAAAACACGGACTCCATTTTAGTGACGTTTTGCACGTTCACCATTGCCTTTGAAATGTCACTGTAGGTTGAAAACTGTATTTAAACTTCAATATTTTTGCTCTTTCCGGGAATGAAGACCGACTGTCCCAATCCTGCATAAACCTTCCAGTCACAATATTTACCAACTGACACTGATCTCTCCATGGATATTATACAAAGCATTATAGCTATTAATGGAGGGAGTCATTAATGCAAAGCTGTGAGTCAGGCTATATTTCGTTAATGCGATGTTATTCAGATTTTAAACATGTTTTAAGTCTAAATTGGATTATGTCAAATACCATTTTGCTATGGTGTAGCATTTGACATTCAATAAAAAATAAATAAATAGCCTTATACATTAAGGCGTGAATGTTCACTGTGCCTGGCATTTGACGCCGAGTTGAGAACCTCATCTATTTGTACAGTAAGATCACTTCCACGTGACACTTTGAATATACAAAGTTATGTCGTTTACCGCAACAGTTTATTTTGAACCATGACATACGAGAGAAGCAGCAGATTAGTGTTTACAGTGAAACAAGTATGCTGATATGAATTTACAGTGCGTTCAAGTGCTACAGAGCAATGTTTCTTGTCTCGTTTCCAACTCGTAGAGCTCAAGAGGACCTGGAGGGCTTTCTGCTCATGATCTAGGCTACTCACACAGATGGCCAAGAACAGAAAAAGCAGAATGGATAGAAGATTAGCAAGCCAGACATAAAATATCAGTGCTGGTAAATATCTTAGTTTGGCTTAGCAAGGTTATTAGATTAACAATTCTTCTCAAATGTATTTATTATAACTTGAACAATATATGGACATTGTTTTACACACTAAAAAGAAGTTCTTTAAGACCTCTGTAATATCTATGTTTGAAAGATAATGCTTCTCCAGTAAACAGAGATACAGGATTACGTATCAGATACAGTCGCTTGTCTGTTTGTGCGTTTGTCCATGTGAGCGAAAATGACAGAGGGAGCGAGATGCTGTTTGCCAAATCTCAATAACCAGGTCAGACACATTCAGGTCAGAGCCATGTATCCATGCAGACAACTGCCACATTTCCCTTGTTAGCCTACTGGAGAATATGGAAATGGATAACATTCCCCTTATGCCTTGTTAAAGTCATAAAGTCTGCTCATTAAATGCAGTTTTAAAAAACTGTTAACAGTTACAATTACATGGTTTAAAACATGTAATGTAGTCTCTCTCCAGTCTCAGACATAAGCTCATAGAGTAGCACAGCCCTTAGATAACCAGAAAGTTCTGTAGTTAGTTTACAAACTAGCATTTTAAGTGCAAGCTGTGCCAAGAAGAACAAAAAGATGTAGGTATAAAAGGTATATATTTAGGTATATCTGTGTGCATAATATTAATATATCTATTCAAATTATTTTTGTATTAATCTACACAACACAGGAACGCAACAAGCAAGCTTAATAGTCCATTTTTCCTGCTGATTTGACAATACACATGTGTATGTGTGCTCTGCATCAAGTTAAACACAGAGCTGAGTGTGAACTACTGTAATTAACACAGGTGTAATTTTCTTATAGGAGTAACAGCTTATCTTAATTTAGAAGAAAGAAAATCAATAATGATTACTGAGGCTTTCATCTTTGCTTCAGATGACGATGCGAAAAGGTTCACTCGTAATGAGCCTACAGAGAATTATTATCTGAATCTGAAGCTCTGCGGTTTACAGAGCTTTATAGCAGGTAGCACTCATTATTTGTTGTCTGACCAACTACTACTCACTTATTTTAAGAAAACTGGTCTCTAGCACGAACGCTTGCAACCAAGGTTGATACAACAGTGAAAGCTTCCCCTCCATGGAAGCACATTTAAAAATGTCTGGCATATTCTAAAAACACATTATTTTCGATGAATAAAGAGACACTGTGAAAGAATGAACTGGAGGATCTTTAAAAGAAAAATCTTGAATGTAACAGCAGTGCCAATGCTGAAAGGTTCTGCACACTGGGACTGGCCTTCAAAGACAAAGCTGTAGCTCCTTAAAAACAGTTAAAGCAGGAATGTTAAGTCATATTACCAATGACAGATTTTCATCTTCTAAATAATTTGTAATACATAATCATTTAAAGTGTTAACTGGATTTTAGTATTATGTAGGTGTAAAGAGGACTTGCAATGTGACATGACCTCCTACCCTCTGTAAACTGATACAAAGAAAAAAATTGGTAGATATGCTTCTACATGTAAATGAATGGTAGTCTATATCAGTCCTTAAAGTGACAGTCACATATCGCCCACAGCACTGAAAGCGAGCTTACATACTGTGGCCCTGTGATCACCATGTAGCAGTGCATTCTGTAATTTGGTGCTGATTTATGAAAAAGAAAAAAGACAAAAATAATGACTGTGGAAATCAGAGACTAGTATGTTGACCCTGGTTTAGATCCAGGTGTCTAATGTAGATTAATGCAAAGCCTGCAGCGGTGTGAAAGTTATGCAAACAGAGTGGCTATGAGTTACAGGAAAAGCAAAGTGGTTGAACAAGTAAATGTGGGAATGTTTCATTTCAAAAATCCTTCAGCTTTGAAAGGCAAACCTGTTCCCGTTTACAAAAAGGCATGATACAAAAGCCTCCGGTCATCCGGTTTTGTTGTCTTCACTATTTGCATCACATGACATGTGCACACATAGTGCCCTCGAGACAAACTACTTTATGGTTTAGGGGGGCCATCTAGACGTCAATGTGTTATCTCTAGTCAATGTTCTGAACACACAGGCCAGATTGAAAAGATTAACTAAGCCAGTTATCAATGACATATTGTGCTAAACCACACTGAGAAGGTGCCCACAAATGTTGATAATGCTGTAAAAACCAACACAGGTATTCACTAGGTATCTGTATCATCTTTGATTAAAAAAATAGAATCAAAATGATCACAGTCATACCTAAGCAAGAGGTTTCTGAAAAGTCAAAAATGAAGCTTCTGGGTTTTATTTTTTTAGTTGGTGTAGACAACATGACAGAACAATCAACCCCCTGAAGGGACTTTTCTGACAAGCTTGTCCTTTTCGTCCAAAATGCAGGCCTTCAGGCAGCCTGGACGTTTCATATTTTCATCTTTACGACTACAAGTGTTTCAGTAGCCATAGAAAAGAGTTAGAGCATAGCCTGCTCTAACTTCTGTATTGATCATGCAATATTTTGAAAGTGGGCCTAACAATATCTAAGAGAAGAAAATGTGCACACGTGCGCACACACACGTAAGGCAGAAACACAGAACACACTTGAGACTACCAAAGGTTATAATAGAACAAAAAAAAAAAAAAAAAGGTATCATTAATTTCTTTCAGATCCACTGTAATGTTTTCTTTTGGCAGTGTAAATTTCATATATAATCTTTTAATTTTGAAAGGTCTTCGTACATAATGAAACAATACAAAAGAAATTTCCTGCTTTTCTTCTTTACAACTTTTTGGAAGTTAATTCATGTTGTAGCTCAGGGGAATCTTTGATAAATGATTTTTTTTCAAGTTTTATAATCTCCTCTGCAGTTTTTGTTTTTGAATGTATTTATTGCATATGTCATAAAGGCAATATGTTTATCGATGTAAACAATCAAGTGTGGATCTTGCAGCCATTTTCAAATGACCGCCTAACTACATAGTTATGTCAGACCTCACTGACACTAGAATACAATGCCGCTAGAATAGAAATCTTTGACCTTTTTAATATGAAATAGGATGCTGACACAGAGCTAGTTTGGCAGGTGTATCGTGTATCTTGGCCTCCATGAGAACAGGGTGGGGCACTCATGTTGTTTCTTGTTAGAGTTGGACCAATGTCTGACAAATACATCACTTCCCTGGAAGGAAAACAGTTCATACAGACATGTTTGCTTCTAGAGAAATTTCAATCGAAAACCAAAAACAAACCGCATAATAGCTTCAACCTACTGCTGGTGTATTTGATGTGTCAACTAACTGATGAAAATAAAACAACCTGTTTCATGCCACGAAACAACAATCACCGCTTAATGCCTGTGTAACCTGCAGGTTGGAGTTACTGAGCAGTAAATTAAGGAATAAATAGCGACAGGAAATTGCATGACATACCTTGTCATTTAGGACTCAAGCGCCTGGATCCCAGTGGATGGCAGATGATAGATCCAACAGCAACAATTTGCTTATCTAATGAAAAAGGACAAAGATAAAAGACAACATAAGCACCAAATAAAGCAAACAGTAAGACAATATTCCTATTTGAGAAGCTAAAATCAGAGATTTTGGCCATTTGTAGTTAACAACTAATCGATAATTGTTACAGTTCTACTGTACATAGCCCATGGAAGTGATAAACAGATCATCTGTTTAACGTCCCAATCTAGTAAACATTATTTTAATGTAAAACAGTCAGAGTGGCTCAATAACCAGCTAGAAACCTAAAAAGAAAATGTGATATTGGTGCCAGCGTATTTGTGATGTTGTATCAAGTCTATAGTATAGACTACAATTGACTCTTGCCATACATATTGTTGTATTGATCAGTTGTCTAAACCCTTGTGAGTGGTGATGGAAAACCAAAATCAAACCAAATAATGGGATTAGATTAATCTTCTCCCCCCCCATGTTCCATGGCACTTGTTCATAAGCAGTCAAATTTAGGTCAAAAGAAACTAATAACAACCTTAATATATCATCTTGTTAAAGTTATTCTTGTAAAGGGTTGGCTTTGCAACTGTGGAAGCTAATGTTCAGTGTGTTCAACAAAAAATTTGATTAGTCAGCGAATACTTCAGTAACTACAAAGAGCCGTTGAAAAGAGGCGGAATTTATTAAGTTTAGGATATACTGAAATAGCCACGCTCCTCCTATATGCCTCCTCCTGCCCGAGGACACACAAGAAGCAGAGAAGACAGAAACACGAGTCATTTTCATTTTGCTACCAAGGACTGCTAAAGCATCAGTGCAACATGCATTGTAATGTACAGACAAAATGTTCTCATTTTATTGGTATCGGTCTATCTTGTAAAAGTAATCCAACTCAACAACACTCAGCCTTGAAACGCAAAATAAATCTTGCTTCTCAGGTCAGACAACAACACAGGAGTATTGTCCGTGCATGCCTGGAAAAGCATTAGCCTTGCCAGCTGATCTGAGACAAACTGATCCAGCTAAAAGATAGGATCATCCCTCCACTATCCTCACTGAGCACAATAGAGCTATAGAGCAGGAAAGAGGGAGGGAGAAAGAGAGGCAGGAGAAAGAAAGAATTTTTTTGACTTATTCATAGGGTCTCCCAATCAGCTGCGAACACGTTGGACTACACTGACACTCATTAGTTTCTGCTCCACTTCCTCTTGGGTGCCTTTATCCTCCTCTCATCTATTTGGGATACTGAATCTTGCCAAACAAAAGTTCCCTCCGTCACACACTGGAATAAAGCAAGAGAAGCGTCAATTTTCGAATCAGGGGTGTTGGCAGCAGGGGTGGGGGTGCATTGCAGCTACACCAACTGGCTCTTCTGCTTTGCAGCTACTTGTCTTTCATTCAGACAGCCCCATCACCACTGCAGTCATATTGTGAAACCAAAAGTAGACAGTAAAGGAAATCACCTGCACCTTGTTTACATGAGCTCTATCAATGAGGAAGTATTCGGTCCTGTGCACAATAACATTTATGTGCTTCTGCATCAGGACGTGTGTGCACACAAATCAATATATATTATTTAAAAAGTACTAGCTATGTTTTTTTAAACAAATCACTTGCTATTCTACTCTAAACTTTTTAATTTTTTATAAGGAAAAAAGGTAAAGAAAATGCTTACATATGTATATTCTGGGAGCCTTATGGAGACATTAGATATAAAAATACCCAGTAGTATAATAACAAATTTAACTGGCCTTTCCCATCAAACTCAGAAAGGGCAGGAAGGCTTATTTTTACTCTTCATGCATGTCAATCACAGAGATGGAGCCAAGTAGTAGAGCTGCTTGTTTGTTTTGTTTGCTATGGTAATAATGTTATTATTTTTCATTACTGGGCTAATTGAGTATTAGTAATACCAGTTTCTCTGTTCCTTGTCCTGGCCAGTCTGTTCCTTTGCTCTGCTAATAGACTCTGCAGAGATCACTGTAAACTAAAATCTAATTTGGCTTGTTCTTAGACTTCAGTCGAATGCAACGCTGTGATCAAACACAAAGACTTGTATACTCACTGCAGTTAAAAAGGTGTTTTTGTTTAATTGCATCAACACTGATAAGAGATACTCACAAATCAAGAGAACGGACACAACTTCAGTTCTTTAGCACGAGTGGTAAAAAGATGTAAATACAGAGTTATAGTGAAACTACAATCTGTCACATGACATCAGAGGCAAGCGATGGTGAATTAGGGTCAGTGGACAAGGTGCTGACCAGCCTGTGCCTGTTCAGCCTTTTAAAACCGCAGCACACTGCCGCGATTGAATGCCAAACATGGAGCTTCCTTATGGGCCCAAACCCAACACTTTGCCTGTGCACACACACCAGATTTTAGTTCATTTGAATTTTACGGCCAGCTTTCGCCAGCAGTGAGCTGTTCACAGTTTGAGCTAAATGCAGGTTGGGTGATCCTTTTACAAATGAACTGCTCTAAAAAGATGTGCAATTCCACCCAAAACACAATGTGGATGCAATGACTCAGGCAACAACTGGAGTTAGTCAGAACACGTGTTCACATATGTGGTAAAACACATCATCGACCACACTGGAGGGTCATTTAGCTAATTCTATAGTATGTGTGAGACTCTGTAAATGTCATTTTGTGCAACTGCCATCACTGATTGCATGACACAAGTAGCAACAACAAACAATCTTCTTGAGCAACAATAATAACAGTATGGATCCCTGGATCGTAAACAACACAAACTGTATCATTTCTACTGGGGCATGTCAGCCTGGGAGCCAAGAATAGATGACAGCCTCAGTGTTTTTTTTTGTCTTTGAGGACGGGAAGGGGAAATTGTGGTGATGTATATGGTAATTTGCATACTGAGCAGGGAATATACATCTGATCACAAGCAGCCACTTAAGATATGCGTGAGGTGCTTGAAGCATTGAAACCAGATTTGAGCTGCAATGCACCTCAACTGGATATAGAGACGTAATCACTTCAAAAACAGGCTAATGTGAATAAAGAGCCAAAGGTCTGAACAGGCGCTGAGTCTGTTCAGGACGGTGCCGTTTCTCCTTATCACTCCAGACTACCAGGAAATCAACCCTGGGCAACTTGTCTCATGAAACTGGTTATCAACGGTTTCTGTTAACCCTGACTTTTCCAATCCAGCCAGTGACTCCCATGCAACATACAGATCCAGATGTATAGTTTGTGATAATGAATTGATCTGGAATAAGGCATTTACAGTAATATGATAATATGGATTCAGCATTTAACCACACAAGAATCTGAGTATGCTACAGTACACAATATGTATAAACTATAAGGAAACCATATTTAAAAATGTACATAATAGTAAATAATAGAAAATTACATAGCCAGATTCTACCTAAAAATAAGCTAAGCTATAGTATATATGTAATAAAATATAAAATTTGTATTTCTACCTCTCTGTAAACATGCTGCCATCCCAATTATTTGCTATTTTTCCTTACGTTGGGGATACGTGGCAGGGGATTACTGCACCAACCCAGCATATTATACTTTTCTTCAGCACTGAGTTTGGATGCATGTCTTGTGTATAACTTATATAAAAAAAAACGTATTGTTGAGCTACCCACTGCAGTGTTAAGCCCAGGCCGCTTATCACGTGCAGACAGCCGGAAGACTGCATTGCCCAGCCTACAGCACATAAAATCAGTTAGGATATACAGTATGAAGGCAGCTTATAGCAGAGATATGACGCGTATCTGTTGCTGATTACGACAGACCGTTTCTTGCAGGGTTTAAGTCTTCGTAGAACTTTTCTTTCCTCTTTGGTAATTTAAAACCTTTCAAATTTCTTCCATTACATAAGTTATTTTACATAAATGTCTTGTTTTTGTACAAGTAGTTCATTTTGTTTTTTTCTCCCCCTATGTGTTATGTGGGGGAGATTGGAGCTGTTCACAACACGCTCTTGTGCCGTCTTAACCTGCCAGCAGACACCAAACTAAAGAAGGATTTGGCTTTATGATCATATCTGCTGATAGACAGCAAGACTGAATGAGGCAGAGACAGATTTTTCTCCTAACTGGGTCACGGAAGCAGGGAAATCATTAGGGAGGAACTGGATGCAGAGATGTATGTTAAAACAGATAGAATAGAACGTCAAATATTATGCAAATTTACATTTTCCCCACAAATACTAAGTCAAAATAGAAACTCACAAAACCTATGGAGCATCCATCGATTGTATAATAGACCTTCCTTGCACTTAATAGGCTATTCATTCAATATTGATATCTACATTTACTAATGTACATTACATGCTATTTGTTAGCCCAGCTTTAATAGCCAGTGGGCAACAGACCAAGAAAAAAAATCCATAAACATGCGCTTCTATCTGACTGATTTATCAGAAATGAAAAACGAAGTGGTAGTTAAGTGTTGCTGCTGACCTACAGACCTTCCTCGGACTGCAAATAAAAATCACCTGCCACAAAGTGTGCTGACAAAATATATGAATCAATTACACTAAGAGCAGACATTTTATTACTATCATTAGAGGGGGAAAAAAAAGATAATATAGTCTCTTTAAGAGCATACACGTTTGGTAGAGAGAGATGTGTCAGTGCTTTTTATACAGCCTGAGCAATGTCAGTGGGACTGAAACATTGATATAAATTATAAATATCAGCTCGGGACATCCCTAGTCTGAATATAGCTTGTTCCAGATCAAGTTATCTGTGCAGCTTAAGTTACCATGGTGATGTACCCTATGAAGAGTGTGACATTAAAAAGCCCCCTAACCCAATGCGATCAGCATAAAATCTTTGTGGGTGCTTGAGTAATGATCATCTTCATATAAGACGAAAGAATACCTGTACACTACTATCTTGTTCCCAGTTCCTCCTTTATTCGACATGGACAAAATTGTTCCTCAAATAGTTGACTAATCCCATGACCTTGCTTTGTCACATGACCCCACTTGCAACGTCAAAACTGTAGTCACTGCCTGCCATCAAATCATCCATTGTTTAACACTCTGCTCCATGCTTTCACCTGCTTGATGAAGGAGTAGGACAAGCACTTCTTGGCTGCCAAACACTTCTATGGCCGGCCTCTCCGGGGATTCAGAAGGATCATGGAAAAGCCATTGAAAGGCTCAAAGGAAGACATTACACAGAGAAACTCCTACCGAAACCAGTCAGAGCACATGCATAAACACTGCATTTTACTAATAGCTTAAACAAAGATGTCGCACCAGTTCAAACACTGAAACTGTGTGCAGAGCAGAGCGCTGTAACAGAAGTTGGCTGAAAATGTCAACACCATATTTACCCTCTCTCTGTTGTAGCCAACTGCAATAGATGTGACACACACCAGAAATGGAAGGGGGTGAACTCCATCTTCCCCTCAGTAACTCCTAAGTAAAAATGTATGACTAAATGGATGAGAAAGATGCCAGTCACCACACAAGGCACAGGAGACGCTTATCTTTAGCCACCACACTGAGGTGATAACGTTTTTAAGGACCATTACACTATAGATGTTTCTAGGGAGTTAAACAACAACAACAAAGAAGCAGCTGAGGCTGATATTACCAGGGTCCAATTGGACTAGTTTGTAACACTGTTTCCAGGAGAGCACACATGTCCCCAATCCCGTCAATGACTCACTGCTTTGCAGATGTTGACAATTTATTCGTGGGGGTGTGTTAATGGAAAACAATATGCCTTAATAGATGTCATTATTAAACGATGAATAGATCCTTAAACTTTACTGGAAATGGGAGAACTTACTCTGACTATTGGTGCCCTTTATCATGTTCAAGATCAGTTCTAGGGGTTCATTTGGCCTACAAAATGGTGGAAAAAAACTAAATAATAAAAAAAAAAAGCACATCACAATCTAAAGCCCACAGTCTTAAAACTATTTGAATTTTGGCCAAATGTACAGTTTGAAACGGAAAGATATTAAATTCATTATCATATGGGACAAAGAAAGGAAAGGCGGCAACCTGAGAGGGTGAAATAAAATAATGTTTAGCTTTCTTGCTTGAGAATTTACCTCTAACAGTGCTTAGCATAATGGTGAATTGATTTTCTGCTGACCGAATTATCAATTAATGGACTAATCAAATCAGCTCTATAAAAGGGATCATTAGCATAGAAAAAAACTCTCTGAAGCTAGCCCATTAATTGAAGGTAGAGTTAAACAACAGCTTGCTCTGCGTGCACCTGCTGCAGGAGGGGAGGCGGCAGGGCTGCTTACACAACAAGAAGTCTCACAACTTGCCAAATTTCTCTTTTAAAAAAAGAGAAAAAAAACATCAAATCTTTAATAGGGCAAATCAATTTAAGTGCACGAACTAAAACTAACTAAACATCTATCTGCATGGAAAACAGTGACAACAGTCGTATGGTAAGCTACTAAAGTTATAGCCTAAAATAAATTGAATTTAGTTTTGACTGAAACAATGACATTAAGGTAATGTGAACGGACTGAATGCACCTGCCTGCTGCAATAGATACAAAATACAAATTGGCCCGTTAAAACTGACTAATAATACATTCCTTACTCATTTCCTTACGTGACAACATTTTCTCACAGGTTTGCTCAACACCATCACCTGCAACTCTTCAGCAATGTCACGAGTACTTAGTCACTAAACACGTGTTCTTCAGCCCATGTCAACATCTTCATTGTTTACACATAGCTCACACACTGCTCTAGCATATTTCTCTGTCCCATTCACCCCAAGTGAAAAAGAAAGCATCTGAATCACTTCAGGGCTTGACTTGCTGAAGTTGGGGGAGGAAATGTGCACTTATACAGTTACACAAGCAGGAATATTAAGGAAGATGGAAAAAAAAAAAAAGGTCCCTATCTGGTATAAAGCGTCCCTAGACAACCACACCTACAGCCGCAGTGATACTCATGCAATACATTTGTTCAGCAGTCATTAAACCAACACTCAGCATATACCTAAAGTCTAACCCTTCTGTCCCTCGTATGAAACCCAAACAGTCGATTTCTCCTCAACTGATATCTCATTGGTTAACAATTCAGGATGATTCCTCACTGTGTCCCCCATTTAACAAGGATTACATCACCTTAAGGAAGTAAAGATAACATTTCGTTGGGGTTTTAAACAGGTATTACCATCAAGAAAACCAGGCTGAGGTGAACTGTGGCACAAAACAGCTTGGGGCTGTTTAAAAGCAAAAAAACCCACAATGTTTTAACCTGGGTGACCTAGGCCCAATCCATCAAGAGTTTTATCTGTCGCACTCAGAGTACGATACGGAGCAAAATTCACAATGGAGGCATTATAGACTTTGGATTAACCATTATTCAGCCACAGTTAAACCTTCTGACGCACAGTGAAGATAAGGAAACCTGCCCATTTTGTTACTATTGTCAAGTCTTTTTTTCTGTCTCCAAGTGGCACAACAAAACTGTTTTGCAAGTGTATCTGTAACAACACTGCTTTGGCACTGGTGTGAGAAAAGAGCAACGCTTTGTTAGAGTAAAGCTTATCTTCCGTTCCAGATAAGCTCTGTTGTAAATGATCATACGAGGAACTTGATAAATTAAAGTGTTCACCAGCAAGGGGCTTTCAGCGCCTCACTTTAAAACATACCAATGGAGTGAGAGTCATGACAGGTTTCTGTGATTTATAGAGTGTACGTATTAAAGATCCGTCTTGCATAACAATATTGGATTTCAATAAGATGAATGACCAAAAACTGCAATGGGGAAAGGAAGGCGAAATAATGATACAGTAAGTGGATAATAATCTACAAACATCTGGTCACTAGCTGCAGACGATGGGCCTACGACAATGACAAGTGGCGGCTGATGTGTCCTAGTCTTTGTTTACATTTTATTACAGCTAATTCAAGGCTAATCGGTTTCTGTTTTACTTCACGACAGTGCCGGTCGTTTGAGTTTTAAAGGCAGTAGAAGCATTCTCCGTATTTCACCAAGCAAGGTGGAGGACAGTTATCCAGCCATAGATGCCTGCAGGCTATCTTAACACACCAATGTGTCCTCTCCAGGAAAACATAAAGCAACCCATCCTGTCAGTTTCAAGGGTTAGTTCAGCTGGGTCAAGTTTGTATTTTGATGAGCTCCCTTGCTGACGTCGGTACATCTACAGAGATAGGTTAATAGGTCTAATTTGGTTTACAATCAGGTTATAACCCCCCCACACACACACAAAGACACAGACAAATACCTATTCACATGAGAGATTTCTACTGCAAGCATGCTGTCATTGATGTGCTAAAACCACAAAGCATTCACGGATGTAATTCAGGCAGCTTGAAAAATAAAAATAAAAAAAAACAAAACCACAGTCTTGCTGTCATTTTCATCTGAACGTTATATGCTTCATGGCTTCCTGTGATTTACTGCTTCTCTCGACAAGAGATGATTAACAGTAAAATAAATAAATAAAATAAGAATAAAATAAAATCGACCTGCTGAAATTCCCCCCAAAAAATAAAACATAAAAACCTGGAGATTAGCTCCAGCCATCTATCTCAAATCTTAACAGGATTAAATGACATGGAGTTAAGTGGGGGATAGTAATCTGATTAGTGAAGTGGTGAGAAAAATGAAAACGCTGATATGTTGAGTGTACAGCTCACTAATCCCCTCGTCCGTCGAAGCGCTGCTGAAGGTGCTCCGCAACAAAAGATGTGACTGCTGCTGCTGTTGCACTGCAGCTGTTAACACTGACGACTGACTGATACTTGGTGGTGGTGGTGGTGGTGGTGAGAGGGGGGGGGTGTATAGCAGTCACAAAATACATCCAAGTTATTAGCTTTTCATGTAGTAGACTGCGTTGCATTTGGGTATTTGTGGTGACTAGATAAGAGGCAGTACAAGCAGCACTGCAAATAGGCAGCCATGTAAACGCTACAGCTGTTGATGTGAACGGAAAATACAGACAGCTGCTTAAAATCTCCTCTCCTCTTCCATTTAACGCCCCCATTACAGCACGAATGTGGTCACATGTATTAATAAGACCGGGTGTGTTCATGTAAACCTGTAATATTATAACTTCACTGTTAAAAAAATGGGCTGATTCAACGCCAAGACCCAACATCGGACAGCATCAGAATGGGACCCCAGCATAACGACGCTGCGCTGCGGCTAGCCGCGATGCTACCACACAGACAAAAAAGAAACAAAAAGACCCTTACCTGAATTACTATCGAGTCAGCGTCTCATTTAATGGCGTCCCAAGGTTGTGAGCAAGGTGCTACTATCCGAAAAAACGTGTCGAGAAGTTGGCATGAGCTAGCTCACACCGATTTCGCTTCGGGGTAGTTCAATAAGGTTAGCTCTCGCTAGTGTTAGCAGCTAAGCTAGCTAACGCTGCCCACTTTAAAGAGCAACTCGAAGCTGGCCCAGTTCGCACATTCTCCACAGCAAAGCCGTCCTCAAGTTGTTTCACTGAGTCGTCCTCCCCTCCTCCTTCTCAGTTGTTTTTTCAGACGTGGAAAAAAAAAAAGAAAAAAGGGGGGTAAAAAAAAAAAAAAAAAAAAAAAGTAGTATTTACCTTCCAAATGTCACTTGAACAAAACTAACCGACGAAGGCGAAGGCATGAGAAAATGTGCTCCTTAATTGGTTAACACTTAATGACACACAGAGAGCATTAAAAAAAATCCAAAATGTCCACGACATTCAGCAAGGAAATACAAAAGGCAGAAAAAATGCGAACGACCTCCGGCAGAGCGACAGCTTTTTCATCTAAAGTGTGCCGCACCCAGGTGTTTTCAGTCATAATCTCCTTTCGTTTAATCACGCAGCTACATTGACGAGAGTCGAGGGGAAGCTACATACAGGCTGTTTTTAAGAGCAACATGAAGCGGTAGGGGTTTCTTCGTCTTCTCTCTCTCTCTCTCTTTCTCTTTGCTGCGACCTCCGTGCCTACATGTAGGAGTAGGTTGTCCACCAGAAGTCGCCTTTCCAGCTACACCGACACCTCCTCCTCCTCCTCCTCCCCCCTCCCCCTCTCTCTCTCTGATGGTGCTTTCACTATCTCACCTAATAGTTGAAAATCTCCCTCAAACCATTTACATTAACATTTTATTCCCTCTCTAATTAGGCTCAGGAAGTGGATTCACTCACACTACATACAATAAATATATATATTTTTTAATTAAACCAGTCTAGATGTATATATATATATATACATATATATATATATATATATATATATATATATATATATATAAAAGGTGGTGGCAGTATTTACAACAGTTTGACTATGTATGGTGGTGAAACGAATGGGTATTTTATTTAAATAAGTTTTTTTATCAGTCAAACAATAAGATTCATTTTATCTTTTCATATTAAACTCACATACCAATAGTACCAAAAGTAGCTATCCTGTGGCGCCCCCTGGTGTCAAATAAGGTTTTTTTTTCCTTGCAGGGGAATTTTAATAAATCCCCAAAATATGCAACACCCCCCCTTTCTTCCACAATATGGTAATTAACACATTTCCCTAATCCTGTTCTTCAGAAGAGAGATTTGTAGATATTTTCATCACAATAGCTTAATGCCTTTTAAGTAGGGAATTTATATAATATATATATATATATATATATATATATATATATATATATATATATATATATAAAAAGGCATTTGCAGTAAGATTTTGAGATCCATCTTGCTTGAACATGTGCAGTTTTAACATCCCATACTGTGTGTAAGACCTAGTGCCTTTGACATAATATCCAATCACTACATCTATATCTGTAAATATTTAAATCTCTTAAATATAAAGAGACATTTTATGTATTTTTTGCCCCCCAAAAAGATATAATGATCACTTTGTTTGCATAAGCATCTAACAGCTTTAGGTAATCTTTATCCCTTTAAAAAATATATATACACGTTGGTGATTAACAGCTTTATAATGCACATAACTTGCAGCTGTGCAAACACCTGCCAGGCCTTTTCCACGGAAGACATTTTGACAGGAAAAGTGAAATGTAAACAATGACATTTATGATGTCTGAATTCCCTTTAGCTGCTTCCTTTCCAGGGTTGTGGTATTGTGCAATGTGGCTCATTAACACACTGCCGTGGCTTACTGGGACACTTTATTGGACCGAAGATATCCTTAATACAATTAGTAACACATGTACTTTATTTGCTGTGAAAAAGGCCTAAGAAGTACATATCATCATGAGGATTCTCCACGATCTACTGCACATTCGAACAAATGCCAACAGGTAGAAATGATCAAGTAGAAAAACCTAAACACAGTAAATTCAAGCAAAGGCATGTTTCTACTGACATGAACCTGCATCCGGACAATTAAAATATACCCTGCTTTGACCAAAAGATTCTTAAAAGGCTATGTAACATTACAATGTTTCTGTTTACTGAGACTTAATCAGTCCTTTGCACTGAAAGAAGGCATCCTGGCATGGGCCACGTCCGAGGAAGGTCTTCAGCATGTCCACTCCGTCCACAGAGCCGCCTGCTTCCAGAATCACCCTCCTGTACTCTTTTCCAACCTGTGTTAAAGCAGACAGGTACTTATAGAAAGATACAAAAAGTGAGATGTATTTTTTAAAAGTGATATAACATGATAGATAAAGTGATAGTCTGACCCACCTTTGGATTCATAATACCTTCCTTCTTAAAGCGGCTGAAAAAAATGTCCATGGAGTAGACTTCACTCCAGAGATAGCTATAGTACTGACCATCATATCCTCCAGCCAAGTGGCTGAAACTGGCTGTCATATTGGTACCTGCAGAGGACATCACATTGAAATCGTCTTGTGACAAATCATTAACACACTTTCCAAAAATAAATGGTCTAATGTGTGTGTTTTACACAGGAAATGACACACAAACCTTGCCTGCTCACAGTGGGGTATTTGTTGTATTACAAATTTAACCATTTATGTATTTATTTGTCCTCATAGGATACGATTAGGCAAATAAATACTCTCAATTCTAAATCACTGATAAAATTCCTGATGCTCATTAGCCAACACTTGCCTTGCAGTGCTACTGTTGCTGGTGTTATACTGACCTGGTGTAGCAGGAACACCCAGGATGTCCCGGCAATGCTTTGCAAACACCTCTGTTGTATCTGCACAAGGGCTCGTGTGTAGTGACTGGTCCACTTTACTAAGGACTACCTGGCGCAGGTTCATTAGTCCTAAAGAGGTTCAACCAGTCAACACATCAACAAAGACTCTAGATTTCTGTATAAATGTTATAAGAACTCAAAAAGTGTCTGACCAGTGTTGGCTACTCTGGATGCGATCAGTTTGTCGAGCAGGTTGTCTGGGATTGGCGTGCCGTCCTTGTAGTGGCGAGACATTCTTCTCAGAGGCTCCTTCTCCCAAACCCAGTTCTCAAGCATCTGCGAAGGCACCTCGACAAAGTCCGTCTCCACCAGGGTGCCACTGAATTCTGAAAAAGTGGTCTGATACAAAAAACAGATAAGCTTAGTTTAAGTTGAATCATTCCAATTATTATACAAAGTATGTGCAAATGTAAGGAAACTACTGATGCCTACCTTAGAGCAGAGCTCATGCATAACATGACCAAACTCATGAAAATAAGTCTCCACTTCATGGTGCTGGAGGAGAGAGGGACAACCTTTTCTGGGCTTGGTAAAGTTAGCCACCATAGCTGCCACTGGAAGCCTGCGATTCCCATCAGGTCCTCTGCAGCCAGGTTGGAGCCCAAAGCAGGCTGCATGGCCATACTTTCCTTCCCTGGTGGAAGACAAGGTTGCAAATGTCACCCCAACAAGACTGAATCTAATCATTATTAGGAAGAAATGTCTCTACAAACATCAGAAGCTCTTGTCCCTGATAGCTTCAATCTTAATTTTTTTAAGTTCTCTACCTTGGATGCAAGTCGAGGTAGAACTGGCCAATCTCCTCTCCAGTTTCGGTGTCATAGGCTGAGTAGAGTGTGACGTTTTCATGCCACACGTGAGCATGGTCCACCTCTGTGAATGTGAGACCCAGCAGCTCCTGGTAGATACCAAACAGTCCCTGTGTCACCACGTCAAGCGGGAAATACTCAATCAGTTTGTCCTTGTTCACAGCAAACTTGCACTGCTCCACTTGATTCATGTAGTAGGGCAAGTCCCACGCATTGATCTGTCCATCAAACTGATAGCCCTTCATCAAGCACTCCCTCTTCTTTAGTGCAAGAATATATTTCCTCTCCTTGTTTGCAATGGGCTTCAGTGTTTCATAGAATGTATCTGCAAAGTGGGAAACAAGAAGAGACAGATGTTATACTAAAGACCTTCCACAAATGTACTACAGTAAATAATACTACTATAATAACAAGATACTGACACACTCATTCAGTCCATTTCTACTATGTGATATATGACCACATGCCTTCATGAGCTATAAATTACTGCATGTCGCACTACATACAATAGGCATGTAGTGCAACATCCACTAAATGACATGCAAAAGGCATGAGGTGTAGTATTTCTATGTCTATCTACTTCCCCATCCGTGCCGTCCATCTGTCCAATGGAGTTTATTTTTCCATTGCCAAGCCGTTATCAGATGCCTTGGGTGCTCATCTTAAATGACACATAATGTTTGTAAATGTGAGTGTGTGCCTGTGAGGCGAGATGTCGAAGGGGGGTCATACCTAAAAAGTCAGACACATTGCTTGCATTCTTGGCCATGTTAATCTCCAGCACATAGTTTGCATGGCTACTGTAACCAAGTAAGTCTGCGACCTTTGCCCTCAGTTGTATCAACTCTTCGAGGATCCCTGTGTTTACCTAGTTAAAAAAAAAAATAAGTAGAATAAGATATGCAGATCAGACAGTGTATACAATAGACACATTTTACAAAATATCTAATTTTGCTAATTAAAGTTATAATCCTCAAGATTTCAGTCCTGGTTGATGCAGCGACACCAGACTTCTGGCAGTAGCAAAGGCCTGTTGAGCAGCTACTTTGTCGGAAATACAGCAGAAGAGCAACTGGTGTATGTGTTTACAGCGTAGCCGTGCTGCACAAGGCACAAGTAGCTTTCCACAGGAGTGGAAGGTGTGCAGCCTGTCACCTGCAACTCACATGTAACCGCTCCTTCCTGTTCCACCTCGAGTGTCACCACATTAACGCTTGTAATGTGAAGCAGCAGCAGTAAGAAATGTTTGGTTTGCATGAGCAGTGATTTAATACAGCTCTGATATACGGCTGTAGGAGAATGAATAGTAAACAGTAAGGCTGATATCCATGTGCGTAGGTCAGTAATTTGAGTCCAGAGCATGAATGGCGGAATCCATTTAGACATAACTTCCAATTACTGAATGTAAATTCATTGAATGGCTATTTCTCATAGAAATAACTATCCATGACATCAAAAACAGGGTTTAATTCCCTAAAAAATAAGACAGGGCTGCAGGGGTATGTGAACAAGTTAAAAACAGACAAGGATTTCTGTGGTTGAGAAAGTGTAGGATACACAGATTTAAACTCAGACTCCAGTTACCTCTTTACACCTGCTGTGAAAAGCTGTTTCCATCTTCCTCCTGGTCTCAGGATTGTGACACCTCTTCATCAGAGGGAAGTAATGGGGATATTCAAGAGTCACTTTATACCGCCCATCTGCTGCCTTGTCCAGTCCATTGAGATAGCTATCAGCTAGCCCACCTTAACAGAAGAGGACAGCAGCATAAATGAAAATAGTCAAAGCTTAATAATATTATACAGCCCACTAGACTGAGATTTATGCATATAAGTTTACCCAATTCACGCTCAGAGAAAAGAAGAAACGTATTGTCCTCGTTCAGATTCTTGTTAAACTCAATGGAGAGTTCACTTATAAGCTTGGAAGTTCTTTTTATTTCCTTGGGAGAGAAAAGGAGCAGCATTTGGTGTATATGGTGTAATAATTCAACAATTACAAGCAGAATTTGTGATCAAATAGAGTTACCCAACACTCAATCTTCAAAATACAACACTGGCACTTGATATCACTTCAAAAATGAAATGAAAAACTTGTCTTTTAATACAGTTAAAAAGGTGCATCCTGATTCTATTAATACTGAGTAAAACATGCTTCTTTCTATTATGATCAATTGAGGCAAAACATATAAATGCTTATTTATCTAACATCAAGAGTCAACTCTTTTAATATACCAGCATTGTACATGGTCAAAACTAACTATAATCACATCACATATCGTATTACCTCTTGTATATCTACAGACAGGTGCAATCCATTCCGCTTGCCTAATGTAACAAGTCGGTCTAAGAATCTCTTTTCTTCGGATGTAAGGTTGTCTTGGAGCTTTTTCTGTCAGAAAATAATGACACAAGATAAACACATCTCTTCATGTATGCAGGCTAAATTTATTCACCTATTTATGGTGCATGTCAGCCAGCCAAGGATAAGATATGGCATTGGCTACCACTGGCTGCCTGGTTAGAGCAGATTAAATTTCTTTCCTAAGCAAAATAAGAACCAGCGTCGGGGTCAAATGAGGGTATAGTATCACTAGCCTTAATATGAAACACTTCTATCTATCATTTGTTGCTGCCTGGCTGACATAAAATGTGAAAATAATCTCTCATTGGCATAGATACTGTGGTAACTGCATCAAATCCTCACACATTAGATTTGATTAACTTCAGATTTTATGGGTAAGACTATATTAACACCTCATTATAATCTTAGTGGACTAGAGGCCTGATTAAAAGATCAACCTTCCCCTCCCTCATGTTGTGAGCTTATATTCCAGTAGATATTATAAAAGCCGTACCTGCAAGGCAGTGATTCGCTTGAACACATCTTCCCTCATGCTTATCTCCACATCAAAGTCAGACAGTTTCTTGTCAGCCTCTGTGCTCGCTGTCCGAACCTCTTTAGAAGGAAAAACATACTGGGGGAAATCGAGAACATGGCGGGATGCTGAGGGAACAGAATGAACACAGAAAGACAGCATGAATGTCACTAGGATTTGTGCAACATTGGAATAAGAAAAACAGCATGATGCATTAAAAAAAATAAAAATAATAATAATAATAATATATATATATATATATATATATATATATATAATATATATATAAAAAAATATATAAAAATATATAAAAATATATATATATATATATATATATATATATATATATATTTATTGGGTTAGTTACTTTTCAACTTCTCTACTGAAGATCTAAAGCTTCAAGAACATGTCTAAATTTAAAAAAAAAAAGGCTAATTGACAGCAGGACACTGAGTAAAGAGTAAATAGGGTGTTTGTTAGAGACTATTCTCAGCTTTGGATTATTATACATTTGTATAGGCCCATATATATTGTATATGGGCCTGACTAAAAACAAAAAAAAAAAACATATTCATGGCAATGAAGGAACATGTCTTTTGGACAACAATGAACTCTATGGCAGAGAGCCTTTGGCTACACGGACAATTCATTGTTGGTTTTGGTCTTTTCGTGGAAGTTTTCACCAGACTTCTCCTTAAAATACTTACATGCATAATCCAGCCTGACATTAGCCAAGGCTTTCAGGGTGTTTTCGACACACACGTTTTCTACCTTTAGAGATCCAATGTCATCATAGACCTTTTTCACTCTGTTAATCAAACTGTCCGTGGTGGTCCTGATCTCAGCCGGAGACAGGTCCCATCTCAGCGTGTTTCTCTCATCTCCTGCCTGAGAGCAGTCTCTGGCAGGTGTCACAGACCCATTCTGGATGGTCATTCTCAGGACAGGTTTATATGCGCTGTAAAACAAATTAGACAGTAAAACTTCAAAAGTTTAAAATGACATTTCGCAAGAAAACAGGTGGCACTAATATAAAGCAATAAATCCTTCAAGGTCAGACTTAGAAAATGTGCCCTGCATTTTTTCCATGCTAAGCAGTGACCTTTCCCCCATGTCCACTCAGTGTAAGGTTACATTGCATGGCAGCAAAAGCCTTTCAAAACAGGTTCATAACAGCGTGGGATAATTATAAAGGCAGCAATGACAAATCCCAGCCAAAACTTTGGCCAGCTATCATTTTTAATACCCCCTTTTTTACGGCCAACAGATGTAAACACAATGCAATTACGAATCAGTTTAATGTAGCTGGTAACCCTCCACTTATCTGTCACACAGGTGCTAAATAAAAAGATTTAACAGGGCAGCTACTCAGCGGTGTGTCTCTCCTGAAGCATACCTGCAAAACGCCCGGCAGACTACAACTCTTAACGCACACATGCCAGCGGTTTCATGCGCTTTCTCCGTGCAAGTACACCACACTTTCTTCTCCTCTTACTGTGCTTCAGCTCCAGCAGCAGCAGCAGCAGCAGCAGCACCAGCACTCGTCTCCCTCTCTCTTACATGTGGAGAAGGCTTCCTTTATTTCCGCTGTCAACGCGCATGCGCCGAGGAGGATGCGATCAAGCTGACACACAAGTCCTCATGACGCGGTAGCGGCAGACAGCTGGATAAGAGCTCAGGTAGGTGGGTGGACGGGGAGGGAGGGGGGGTGGACGGGGGGTACTAAATAAGCATCCTTTGACACAATGTTATTTATAAATTGGCTTCATAGTGGTTTTTTTTTTGGGAGGGTTTTGCTCTGAGGTTGGGCTTTATTTCCGCTCCTCGCGCTGTTTTTTTTACTGTGATTGTTTGAGCGAGCATCACACGAGCTGCACAGTGCGCGAGCCCTGCTGTCCGGGCGGTTAGTGAAGACGTGCTCTTTTAGAAATGACAAACCTACCACCGTCACTGCTTGTATTCTGTTCAATGCATTGTATATGGATTATCTGAGTTTACAACACAATGCCTGTGTAGTGTATGAAAACATAGCTCGCCTCCCATTATGGTATTACATCACAGCTTCTGCATCACTGCATTTACGTGTGTCAACACACACACACACACACACGCACACACGCACTGAGGGAGGAGTGGCTGTGCTAGCCAAAGCTAAATGAACATAACAACGAATGGCATCAGCACGTGATGGAAATATGAGGCAGTGTTTGTGTCTGCAAATCAGACCCATGGGGGACATGGAGTCAAATTAGAGTTCATTTGGTGGCCCTTCTTTAAGCCCCTGCTGCTCACTAATATGATTGGAAGTGCTTTGATCACACACAGAGACAAACTAACTGAAACAGCCAGCTTTAATTAATGGACCAATTGCTTCTTCTTCTTCTTCTTTTTTTTTGTTGTTGTTATAAGCAAGAATCATTTTGCTTTCATCCTCCAATGAGTTGTCTTGGAAACAAGAGCCAAATGCTCCACCAGCATCTTTTCTAGTTGTAGAAATAGATAATAACAGCAAGGGGGCTCCTGGGCAAGAAATGTGCTGTCGGGCCCATATTGTGGTCATTTGATTTAACACTGCTTTATTTAAGAGCATGCACCGTGTGAGCACAGGGCCCATAAATAAGCTAAAATGCAAGGTCTGCTTTAGTTGATATCCTTGGCATATTCCTTAACAAATGTAATTAATTAAATCAACAAAGATCTATTGACTTGAATCAGTGGCATTCGGGGATAAATGTGGGCAACTACCCACATTTCCCAGTTGATAATCCGGCCTTGGATAATGACTAGATAATAACTAATTACCCAGGACTATGTTATAGGACTATAACCATCAAACATGCAACCACACACATGAATACGGTAATGATGAACAAAACACATGCTTAAATAATGCACAACTAATGATTAATGATAATTAAATGCATGTATTAAAGGCCCTGACAGTTTTCTGACAGTTACAACTCCCACTCAGTCCTGGTGAAGCAGATTATTATTCATTTTTGATTATTATTTATGCAGTAAACTATTTACTGCATAAATAATACCAAAAAGTTATGTTATAGAGAAAAACTTAAAGCCAAGTTTTCAGAGGCTTTAATACAAGAAGTATCATGAATTCCTGTTGCTCACCATAAATAAATGATCAGGCCACTTTGCGTTTATGTGATTATGGTTAATAGATAGTAACTGTTGTTACTTCACAGTTACTTTATAGAGTAGTTTCATTTACAGCCTATGCCTACCAGGAATCCAGTTACATTTGACAGCCCCATGGTAGTCAGATACAAACATCTACATGTTGCTACACGACTCGACGGTCTTTGTGTATGTCCCGTTTACGAGCTAGGGGATGGAACGTGAGTTTTGATTTATTATATTATGATATTTTTGTTGTTGCTGTTGTTGCTGGAAGGTAGCACATACACGTGGTGCACTAAAACCAACATGTGCAGCGGGTGCCAGACACGTTTATGTCAACAGTTTATATTGTAATAAAGGTAGAAAGCAATGTTAATGTTAATGTTGTGTCAGGAATCTGATTGTGTGTTTATTACTAGAGATTTTCCAACCACAGCTTCATATGTTTGTGAGAGTACTGTTCTGCAAGCATGCGTGGGTCTTAAAAGCCCTTTTCTTTGCAGCTAGATTCCATCTATGTATCATTAATTGATGATCCATTAAGTAATCACAAAAACATGATGACTTGATCATTTTGTAATAGCTCATAAGACTATTAATAAAAATCTTGCATTCATCCATCGAAAGTCATGTATTAGCAATGCATTACGTGTGTGTGTGTGTGTGTGGTTTTTTTTAGTGTCACCCTATGAATAATATAGTCATTGGTGTGTGGGTGCCTTTCTGTTTCACTCCAAACTACTTCCTGTTCCCAGCAGTTTCTAGGTAAAAATGGCAGTGGAGAAGCGTCTGGCATTCTCTATTGTGCAGTTCCTACGAGATCAAACACATTGCGGTGCTTTGAATTCTGATGAGCAGGAGAGCCTTGAAGGTAGGTCAGCTCACAGTGCACTTAGAGTTTGGAAAGCGCCTTTACAAATATAGGACACCCCGCTCCTGTCCTGTGCATTTGAAAATATATATGTTCTCAGTTTTCCTATCTTGATGTAGGGAGAATAAACAGAATCACAAGTGGCTAGAAATAAGGCTATAATGTGCAGTGTCTGCGGTGGCGTGTTTAAGCCAATATAAAACAGGACAGTTTACATTTCTCACTCTGAATGTGCAGCCAAGTTCTGACTCACCATAATAATACTGTTAAGACCAATTGTTTAGCCGCTATCTCCCTAATGTAATTTATCTCGTCAACGTTATCCTGTCACTGCAGTTGCGATACAGTGTTTGGAGACTACCTTTAAGATCAGCTCCAGTGACTGCCATCTTGCTGTGCCACAGCCTCTGAAGGAGATATTCCTCAACTCCCTCCTCAAGGTGGGTGCTGCACAAAACACGGGACAGATGCTTTTACATACAAAGGCAGTATGGTTGTATGTGTAGATGGACTCAGTGACTCAGCTTGTGCAGCATCAGTATGTGTTTAAAGCAAGATAAACCTTTCCCACGTCAGTGCATGCTGGGTCACTGGCATTAGTTACTGGCAAGCCTGTGTAGTTAATTAATCATTAAGGATATTACAACTATGCTTCTCCCCCTGTAAAATCAAAATGTCCACCATAATAACCGTCTTTTGTACAGTAAATCACATCAATGTCTTTTTCTATTTTTAAATGCAGAATGACAACCTAACCGTACCAGAGACCTCCCCATCTCCAGAAGACATTGAACGAGCAGAGCAACTTAAAAATGAAGGTAATGTTCAGACTTATTTACTGGAATTGAATTTGTTCTGATACCTGTGCGTCCTTATGTAGCCTCCCTCATAGCAGATCATTATCTTTTGGTACCTCAATTTAAATAATATGATAATGATAATGAGCTTCTTCACAAAATATTTTGGCATCTGTTTTAAATTATATTCGATATTGAATTATTTTTTATTATTTTTCTGTATTCTTAATCTTGTCCTCGGACCACATAACATTCACATCTATTTCACCATGAAGTGCTTGTGCTGTTAAACCAAAACCACACAGAGGAGGTAACTCAAAACCTTTAAACACTCATCATTTTAGTATTGCGTGATTTTTAGCTGGTCTACATACACCATAACAGTGGGAACTGTGAAAAAAAGTGTCTTGTAGTGAATCAACTGATAGTGGCAGCTGTGAAGTGCTAATAACTTCCCCTGTGAGACATATTGTAAGTTTGAGCTCTGCCTTTTCAACAGATTTTCCCTCATTTTAAAGACAATTGTCTGGTATCATTATCTGGTGAAGGAATAACACATGTTCAGGGAAGAACCAGCCATAGTTCATGTTAATAAGGAAATATTTGTAAAGCGATACACTGCCTTAATAAACCTTATGTTATGTGATCAGAAAAATCAGAAAAGCTGCCAGCTACCTGAAGAGGGAACATGTTGGAGCTCTGCAGCTCCTTCTACCTTATGGACTGACTTATTAATAGCTATATATTTGCAGTCCTGGGGGGAAAGTATTGATCTCTCTTGATGTTAAATTTAAAGTGATATCAATAATTAACTAAAATGGAAATGTTACTAGTACCACAGCGTCCCTTTAAAAAAAACAAAAAACTAAACTTTTGCTGAACTCAATCTTACCAGCCATTTCTTAGGATGATAAAACTACCTCTATAATAACTTTGGCCCTGTGTTGTAACCCACAGTCTTTCTATGTGTAAATAATCCAATGTTTTATTTTTAGGTAACAATCACATGAAGGAAGAGAACTACAGATGTGCAGTGGAGTGCTACACAAAGGCCATTGATCTGGACTTAAGAAACGCTGTGTACTACTGCAATAGGTATTTACAGCAGCAAGCAACACTGATTTCACACTGTCACCATTTTGCACTAAACCTTCTACTTCTATTGTGGTTTTTAAACAACAGGAGACAGTCGGTGATGATCAGTGTTTTAACTGGTGCTAGAGAATTGAATCCCTTCCTTGTGCGTTATGTATAGGAACACAATTAAACAAGCCTGTAATGGGCTCTGAATGTGACACTTTGCAGGGCTGCAGCTCACAGTAAACTGGGAAATTATACAGAGGCAACTGGTGACTGCGAGAGAGCCATTGGGATTGATCCTACCTACAGCAAAGCGTATGGGAGGATGGGGTGAGTTAGACTGATGTTTAATGTTTAATGTTATACACTATTACCAGATTTATTTTCCAGGGGTTTTTTTTCTCTATGTAATCTCCATAATATTTCAATATTTCCCTTTAACGGCCCCTTTTATGGTTCCAGTTTGGCTTTGACAGCCACAAACAAGTATCCAGAGGCAATTTCCTACTTCAAGAAGGCTTTGGTATTAGACCCCGAGAATGACACCTACAAATCCAACCTGAAGATTGCAGAGCAGAAGCAGAAAGAAGCAACCAGCCCAGTAAGTTAAAATAATTTTTCTGTTAGCCCTCATTTTGTTATGTAGCATAATATATATATCCCATTAAAGCTTCTAAAGCTCTG